ACAGTCCGAGTTGGATACGATGCCGGCTTGATACCGACGGCATAGCGAGGCCTTCCTACCGCTTAGATGTTGCAGCCGGTGAAATACCGGTGACACTCCGAGAAGCCACTATTGGCAGAGACGGGGCGAGTGCGTCGCCGGCGCAACTCTCAGACCGGTTGCCGGCCAGCCTGCCGTAGTCGAGCGAAGCCTACTTCAGACCACTTCGAAGTTTCTGATGGTGAAACTCCAGGAGCAGCCGCTGACGATCGTAACAGCTTACTTTTGCTACCATTAATTTATTCTTCGAAGTTTTTTGTTACTCGGCCCTTTGAAGCGTGGCATTCAGGACGTTTCGTTGAGGAATCGGACCGATGTGCAGCGTGGTTTAAGGTGCGAATTATATTGAAATGTTCCCAGTAAATGCCAACCGGTCGTTGCTATTCTTCGCTGCACTTAAAATTTCGTTGCCTGTTGACAGATGCTTACACGGTTAGCCACACAAATCACATGTGTTTCCCATCGACGTGCAAACATATGCCCGTACAGACACACACACACACACACACACCACACACACACAATACCTCGTTAGCTTGCGGGGGGGGGGCGGGGTTCACATGGGTACTTAGAAGATGAAGAACGAACAAACATGGCTTTCGCCATAGTTGTCGACTGTGTAATTGTAGTACGCTGTGGAGTCGACTGAGGCCCTAGCGATTTCTTCTAATGCAAATGCCGTAAAACCTATCAGTTCGCTGTCACAGTTTGCGTGTACTCGCAAGATATCTAGAGTGCGCTGTGCAAATGGCGCGAGCTGTCTTTCTTATGTTGTTAATCCAGATGGGTTGGACGCTTACATCATTCGTACAACGCGAAAGGGAAAAAAAAATCGTTCACTTGGAGATGATTCGAAAGGCTCGCGGTCGACCCAACACCGGATGTGCGTCGATGTATTGTTGGGGAGGAGGGCCATGGTTTCCTTATGGCTTCGTCACTATTTGATCGTTTCGCCGCACGGATATTCGCGGTAGGCGTTTGCGCTCGAGCGATGACAGAATGGGTGCAGCCTCCCCGCCTAGAAGTGTTTCTATAAGGGGAGCATTATACGCTTCGGTGGCGCTTGTTTTTATTGTCGCGCCTCCGAAATCCGTGGCGTGTTCCCGATCCGTCAGTGGTCCCCCTGGATGAGTGCGCCCGTTTCTTCTGCGAATCGACGCTGCCGTCCATCGCGATGGATGTGGCGGGTCACGATCTGGCCGCCGAGTGCTGAGTCGTCCATGCTTTTTTTCCTCCTTGGACGTTTGTGAGTGGTTCCCGATGATGGGCGTGATATCGTCTGCTGGCCACGCCGAGCACCCTCGGGATCATAGGCCTCTGCGGTTGTTCCAAGTCTACTCGTGGTAGCAACGTGCTTGAAGTTCTGAGGATACGCAAACCACACTGTTCGGGCTGTGTCGGTCTGCATGCGTGCAACACGTTAGTTTTTGTGCATTTTAGAATCTGTTTTCAAGGTGGCCTTTGCGGAATCTGTCATCGTTCCAGCGAATGGGGAAGGAGTCTTCGGCGTTTGCTATCACTATGGGAGCTCCGTTGGCTTCACAAGGCACGTGATACGGTCGTTTAAATAGAAAAGGAAAGCGGCATAAATTTAGTAGGAAAGCTTTTTCTTCATCATCAGCAGCTGCAGTGGCGGCGGGCGGCTGCTGCATCTAAATGCTGGAAATAGCTCTGAGTGCCGATATCACATGTGCCTGTTGTGCTGAGATGTCTTCATTGTCACGGCATGTATCTGACCATGGAGACCCCATTTCTTCGTGAGCGTGCGGAATACAGGCATGACATTTTCAGAGCACGTTTCCAAGCTTTTGTTGCAGAACTCCTGGGCGACGAAAATTGGGATGAATGCGGCACCCTCCAATAAACGCATGTGCCTCTGTATTTATTCGGTGCGTTAAAACGAATCAATCGTTCAGTCTACGTGACATCCTTTGTGATATGTGTTTGGTCTACTCAGCTCTGTTGTTGCGCTTATAGTTACGACAAGCAAATCATGCGCGCACTTTTCCATAATATGTACAAACCATGGCTGCCAAGGTTCTGGAACCCCCCTCCCCCGGCTTTCATTTCTATCGCGGGAGAAAGTCGGCTTCTGCACGGTGACTCACGTCACCAGACATGTACCCTTGTTCGGCTGTTAAAAAATTATTAATGTCCAGTAAACTTCCCTTTTTTGTTTTAAGTTTTAAGCCTTCAAGTTGGCAGTATACGAAATATATGCGCTCAAGAACCGAGGCTTGTTGCATTTTCGCGACGCGTTCAACTAGTCGGATGGTGCTTTTAGAAGCCGCCGTTTTCTCCCGAGAGAAAAACGCTTTCCGATGCACGCCTACGTAGCCACGTGCCATGCATTGGGCGGTGGCTCGTACATGCCGCATCAATCACCCGGCGGGTGGATTACGTGCGCTCGCTGTGGTGAAGTGTAGCGAGAAGGAGACACGCTCGATGCTGTTCCGTGGACACGGGACCTGGAGTATCGGATCCCTCCGCCGCTGCGTGTACATGCACCGGTTTCCGAAACGTTCGGATACGACTTTACGCGGCGCCTGACTGTATACGGAGCACTGTGAGTATAAGAGAGAGTTAACGTAGGTTTTTGTCCTGTTTGTTACCCTATACTCGTTTGGGGGGTGTAAAAGAAAGCACTAGTCTGCTAGATCCGCAATTCACACGCCTAGCACCGCTGTAGGTGCCGGTGATCTTTAGGGCAGTTGCCTTCAGGTATCGCAGAAGGTCCTGCGTATTTCTTTTGGCTAGAGAGGACACCTATAGTATGCTAAGAAAATATGGATTCTTGCAGCGCAATGAAGTGGTTATACAAAACTGAGGCACAGAAGCGGCAGGTAGGCTTCAGATGAAAACCACAGGCACGAAGGCAGCTCGATCATGCGGAACAGAAGGCCGGAAGAGACAACGAACTTCTCGTACCGCAGATGACGTCCACATAAAAAAAAGAGAGATCACGCTTAGAATCCGCCCGTCTCCAAGGAGTTGAGGCCGTTGTGTGCTTGTAGCCCCATCCCGCTAAATACCGCCGGACACGTATACGATAAAGTTGCTACTCGCTCACTGCTTTAGATAGCGTGAAGCGGACAAGCCTCAACAAAGTTGTCACTTGAGGGGGCGGCTACCCGCAAGGTCGGACAACTGTACACGGCATAATCATCCTATTGTAGTGACTGCACTTGACCCGTCGCGGCGGTCGCATTTGGACGGAGGCGAAGCGCTCGAGACCCGTGTATAGTGTGCGATTTATTGTGCGTACGTTAAAGAACACCGGTTGGTCGAAATGAGCCCGTCATATGGATGTTATACCTCGTAAACCGACCAACCGACACTTCACTTGAATGGCTTCATAGGCGAGTGCAGGATCAATTCTTTCTTAATGCATCTTCATTGTGACCGAAGTAACAGCAGCATGAATACGCCGCCAGTGTGCCAAAGCAAAATGGTGACAGCAACCTGATAGAATCATCGACAGAAATTTTAAGCTGACCTTGTAATCCGCGTTGGAGGTTCAATTTCAAGTTTCTCTGCATTGGTGTCGATGTCTATCTAGCCAACAGGATCGTACATCTCCGAACACTTAATCTTCGACTCCTTGCTCCTATTTTCAACTTCGTTACTTTCGGGGGGGTGTTCCGTGCCATAACCACGGTGGATTGGGGGGCAAACAAGTATTACGACATTTCGCGTCGATGGCGCAATCTATCCGCTTCGGTAGTTCATGACATGCTGCGCACTTTGTGAGTGACTGGGCGACATTGTTCGTGCACCGTCCGAGTATACGTACTGTTTCAGCTCGGCGCCTGGATTTTCCTTCGCCCGCTCGTTTTGCAATCCCCGGTTAATTCGCCGCCCTGCGCACGTCTCCCCGCGCGCCACTCCGTGCACCTTGAGCGTGTGGACGTGCTCGACGTCTCCGTTGGCGCGACCAGTCGGCTCCCTCCTCTTCTGCGCCGCCGGAATTTGGGTCACGGAAGCTTGTGTGTGTGTGCCTACCACCTACGTGGTCGTGCGCTGCTCACGCGCCAGCCGAGCATGCTTCGAGAAAAGTGCTTCTCTCCCGTTACGGGCGAGAGGCGATGCCTTCCTCTTGCCCGCAACTGTGAGCAAGCCGGTCTCTTGCTGTTTCTCTTCTTCTTCGGCTGTTTCATTTGTGCAGAGAGAGGAGGAAGGAATTGAGAGAGCGCGTGGTCATGGAAGGTTCGTCGTCGGTTCGGACGGGCAGACCTAGCGAGTGGGCTTCGACGTCGGTTGCTGCGCTAGCTGTTCGTCGTGTCCTGGGGACGGCGCATACCACACGACGTCCGTTAGCCCGCCCGTTCTTCTAGTCTTTCTTTTTTTTTTTTTTCTGCGCCCGCCTATCTGTGGTTGTGCAGCCTGCCAAGTCGTGGCCGTCTCTTCTTCGCATCGATCGCGCCTGTACGCGCTCGCGGCTGACTTGTGTCGTGCCCGTCATACCTGCTGGCGTGGTCTGCATCTGTGTCTCCCGTCGGTCGGTCTTTCGTGCGCGTGCCCCTGGAACCTGTGCTTGCCAGAAAAGCTGAGCGTCTGAAGAAGTTGTCGTGCGTTCTTTATTGAGTCAACGTTGATTCGTGCTGTGCCTCGTCGCTGCTGCTGGAGATACGAACCCGTCCGCCGGCCCCCGTCGAGTGCTCAGGCAGCGCTCTGGCCAGTACTGGACGGCTCTCGTTGACTTGTCTTTTCGTTTCCGGCGTGCCGTGACTTCTCCGTCCCGGTGAGACACGTGACGGCGCTCACTGTAAGGAAATTCGTATTGGAAGCTGAAAGGAGTGTGTTCATTTAAGTCCCGGATCGGCTGGCGATCCAGAAGCGGAGGCCACCTGCTCGTCAAACTGGAGATAAACGCTGGAAGCGCAACCCCTGGTCTTCATCGATTTGCTCCACTCGCGGCCCGCGCGTATCATTGTACTCTCGGCTCCGTAGCTAGTTTCTCAAACGTGCGCTTCCGAATGCAGATGAAGTATCGGAATACTGGCATCGACATGGCCACCGTCGTCATCCGCCACGGATAACCTTCTTTCGCTGTGGAAGAAAAGATGTGCCCCGTAGAGAGATCACTCCCTTCTTCTTTGTGATACGGCGAACGTCGTGGCGTAAACGTTGCGCTTGCCGAGACAACTGGGTAAGCGCCGTCAAAGCGGGCCAGTGCGGCAGCCGTCCTTGTCGGTGCCTTGTCCCTCGGCCTTGTCGGTGACAATCGGACCGGAACCCGGACGGAAGCGCTCTTTTGGCCCAGGAAGAAAACGGCGACGACAAGCTGCTTATTCTTCTCTCCCGGGGGCGCCCACTCAACGACGCGGAACGTGGCCAGGAGGAGCACTGCTTTTCGCCTCCAGCGCCCGCAGGCAGCCGCTAGCCAACAAGCGGAAGTGCGCGCCCGCTTGCACGTGCGGCAGCCCCACACTTGTGCTCGCGTCTCGTGTGAAGAGCCTGCGGGAAGTTCTTGCCGAGTGTCCAGCGTCGCTTCTGGACAACGCTGCCACGGCCTGCTCTCGAACATCGTAATCTCCTCGCAGTGCAACGGGTGTGTCGTCCGCTGTTTATCGAACGGTGTCTGGAAGGAAACGACCTGGTCTGATGTTTCCCTGCGGAGGCGCACTTCGTTGACTCGTGACGACAGTGCACGAGGCGGAAACGTACGCGACACAGTTCTCTCCATGACTACAGCGTCGTGAGGTGGTGTAGGGTCCGTGGCCCGGAGACCGAGGAGGCGTTGAAGCTGGGTTTCTTCTCTGGGCGACTGGCGGTGAGCATGCCGTCGCGCCAGGAGCACCACATCCTGACGCGCACCAGCTTCGGTGGCGGTGGCAGCGCGCACAGCGTGTGGGGCGGTGGCACGTACGGATCGTACCAGGCGCTGGCCGCAGCCGCCGCGCCCCCGCCACCGTGGCAGCCGTCCGGCGGCTACCAGCACTGGGGCTACCACAACCAGTCGTTCCTCAAGTGGAGGACCTGGACGCAGCCCGCTGGCAACCCGTTTCTCAAAGGATACGACCCCTCGCAGTTCGTGAGTATCTTCACTTGACAGACGCGGGCTCGTTCGTTGTGTGGAAGATGCCGTCGCCACTTGGTCATTACAGCCCCGCCGTGGTGGTCTAGTGGCTAAGGTACTCGGCTGCTGACCCGCAGGTCATGGGTTCGAAGCCCGGCTGTGGCGGCTGCATTTCTGATGGAGGCGGAAATGTTGTAGGCCCGTGTGCTCAGATTTTGGTGCACGTGGTCGAAATTTCCGCAGTCCTCCACTACGGCGTCTCTCATAATCATATGGTGGTTTTGGGACGTTAAACCCACATATCAATCAAATCAACTTGGCTATTACCGCTTCGAGAGCGCTGTCAGGTCCATGCGTGCGCCATTACCATAGTGCGATATATGAGACAACATAGCTTCAATATTTCAAATGAAGATGGTGGTGGCGATTTGGGCTTGTTGGTATGGTTGCATGATGATGGATGGTAGCGCAGACAACGAACACGGACAAGAGAAGGCACATAGACACAACACAGCGCTGTGTTGTGTCTATGTGCCTTCTCTTGTCCGTGTTCGTTGTCTGCGCTACCATCCATCATCATTCAAATGAAGAGTCGCTGTGGCCATCTTCCGTTTATGCGTTTCGCGAAGCGAACATAAATATTTTGGTCGAGGTTTTCACTTTCTCACACCCGCGTGGCCTCTGGTGGCGCTGTTACAGTAATTTAGATACCGCGCCCAAACGGTTTGCTGTGTTCGCCATCGATTCCGGATAGGATCGTTCTGTCTCGTGCATTAACTATACGCCTGGCAAGGTATAATGTAACCAAGTTCTGTCGGCGTAGCGCTTTTGCGCGCATGTCACAGTTCCAGCATGGTCTGTCTTGGATCATATATGGCATTTTTTTCTCACGGCCGGGCTTCTATATAGAACCATTGAATCCCGTTATTTTTTTATGCTTCGCTTCTATAAGTATTCATCTCGCTTATTGCATGCCTTCCGCAGAACTACTGGATCACTGCGAATAATAAAAATTATTATAATAATAAGCTCAAGAAACTTCTGTAGTGGACTGTTGAATATATATATATATATATATATATATATATATATATATATATATATATATATATATATATATATATATATCGCTGTATTTCGGCATTTTTGTTACAATAACAGCGTTGGATTTACCAGAAGCATCACTTGCCGTGCCCACTTCGAGCGGAACCTTTCTCTCGTCCTCGCCTCAGTTTTCCGCTTGATAAAGACGACTCTGTCGCAGCAAACACTTCATCTTAAGTGTGCTACCGTTTCATTGCGAGACACCGTATGGATGGGCAAAAAAAAAAAAAAATACCACCAAGTAGGAGGAGCGTGGGTGAGTTGGTCTAACATGCAGCATAGTTGGTGTAGCGCAAGCGCAGCCAATTCTTTAAGGACACCACCTAACACGTGGCAGTGCACATTAAGATGAAACTGAAGGCGTGTTCCAGTAACGACAAAGTGCGTGCATTCATAATAAAGAAAAAAAAATACAACGGACAAATTCTGCAGTCACACATTGAAACTGTAAGGGTGAAGAAATCACCTTGTTCAGGCAGTATCGCGAGTTGGGTAAGTTGTTGAATGTTAATAGTAGAATATGAAGTGGGCAGTGTGTGTGTGATTTGGTGGATAGAGCGTTGCGCCATGCAGCAGCCAGAGAAAGGGAACAAATGTGTCTCCAATCATGTCCACAGATATGCGCCTCGCGCTACTGGTGTGGTTTATGCCATTCCACTCTCTTGCGGCTGCCAATACGTAGGTCAAGCGGGGCGTTGAATAAACGTGCACGTACGAGAGCATGGGCCAGGTATCAGATTCTGCAATCGCGTCTCATTTGGCAGCTCATTTTAGTTCATGTGGGCGTGTGCCCCCTCTTGCAGGAAACAGCTATCGAGTATAGACATGTTGATCAGCGCACGTGTGAAAATAGCCGAATCATTTTTTTCACTAGATCCAATAAGAAGTGCATAAGTCATGCATCTAATACTCTTCTAGACGAAGAATAAAAGTACAAGACATGAATCATGTTGCGTGGTAGCACGCGTGCACATGCGCACAGTTTGGATGAGCCAATGTTTTCTATATGTGTTCTTTCCTTTCCCAAATGAATCTCAGTTGTGAGTTCAACGCTGTCCCTTTTTTCTCCATATCTAACCCGTTGTGCTGTAAAATATTCTACGATGAATCACCTGTTCATTGCTTATTTGGTCACGTGCAATGATTATCTGGCAGTGTGGATAACGTGCTGCTTATTCTATTCGGTGTGCAAAAATCGCATCCTGTCCCGGTGAACACCAGTGGCTACATGCTGGATGAGCAGCAGTTAAGCATCTGTTCATGCACGCTTAATAATGTCTCGAGTAATGGGCTGGCTACATCCGGGTAACTAGACGAAAAATGCCAGTTTCCTGGCCTTATCTAACCCTTTAGGCGGGACTTATTAGCGTACACTCATGCCGAGCTTTTAGCGCGCCTGATAATGCGCACTCGCTCGCCTTCGATTCTGCAACCACTGATGAAATGGCTCCGTTTAATTACTTCAATCGTAACGTTCCGCAGTTGCAGGGCACCTAAGCCCAAATGTTTGCGTTACGTCGGTATCTGCAGTCACTTTTGATATGTCGCTCGGCGTCATTTGCCGAGTAAGTCACTGTGAGGGAGCTTGGTTGGAGTCCGAATATTGACTACCCTCTACGCACGATGACTGCGTGAATATTTTGCAATGGCTGCTTGTAACAAGAATGTGTTAATTCCCTCAATGACAACACGGGTTATTGTGCAATGAGCGTCGCCCAGTATAGACGTCTTTCTGACGTCCCGTTTTCTCTTGGCGGGGGCCGTACCAACACCACCTAAATGAGTTTATCTGAACTTATCTAGGTGGTGTTGGCCGTACTTATCTAGGTGGTGTTGGCCGTACCAACACCACCTAGATAAGTTGGCCGTACTCGTTGGAATAAAAACGGTGGCTGCTGCATCAGTTATGGATGCAGGGCCCACGCGTTTTTCGCCTCTTGGGCTCGCGTTCGTGAAAGTTTCACGGCCTCACCCGTGGTGTTTTTTGTTTTTTTTACAAGCTCGCGCAACACAGCTGGTGTCGTCACACAGCGTAGGCTTACACTAGAAATGTTGCCCTTACGACGACGGGGCGCCCCTGCTTGCGGAGTCTTTTATCGTTTCTGCATCGCTTCGCTTGACCTGGGAAGGCGGGAGGAGAACAGGGAAACGCGAGCCTGTCAAATCTCTCTCTCCTTCCCGCGAGTCGTTTCAGGTCGGCCAGAAAGCGCGTGCACGTGCAACCGCGGACTGTGTGCAAACCAGCCGGGCAGTAGCGCGACGAGATCGCCCGCCGGATTAAATGCCGGGGGTAAACAGCCACGGGGGTCTCTCCCGTTACATCTGCAAATCTGTGCTAGTGCTTTGCGGCGCCGCTTTCCGAGTCTCCGGTCTCGCTGCTTTTTTGAAAACAAGCGCGCTGGTATTCTCGCTGGTGCTGGTCGCCCGGAATCGAAGGCCACCTTCGTCGAGTGAGTCGCGGAGATAAAAGGCGGCGAGGACGCGGAAACGCGCCCCGCTTTTAACCTTCGCCAGCGAAATGCGCGCTGGGCGACTGCAATTAGCGTCGCGCGAGGGCGTGGTTGCTCGTGACGTAACAATCCCTAATTATGACTATTGATAAAGCGCTGCCAGCTTAAGCCTCTGCCGCGCAGGATTAACGGCGGTTCACTGCTCTTGTCCCTGGATTTTACTTTTCTCATTGTCTGCATTGTAAATGAGGCATTTTATGGAAAGCCAGGCTCTCTTGTTATACAATGAGCTCCCAGCACTAGGCTTTCAGGTTTTATTTTATTTTTGTATAGTTATTTTGGACGGGTTCTGCAAGCTTCTCTACAGCTTTCTCATTTGAACTTCTTGCCCAGCTTCGTTGCTTGAAAAAGTAAATCATTTTTTTTTTTGTAACGAAGCAGTTTAACAGAACTGAAATAATATTGTCACTCACCCCGTGAAGTATTTAGCAAAGTGGATTTGTTCGCGTTGTCGTAGAGTGCGTCTGAATAGCTTTACTGTATCGGTAAAGCTATTTAGACTATACCAAAATTTTTAGTGACGAAGAATTGACTCAAGCGAAGGCGTGTAGCAGCTGAGTCTGATAAGGATTCGGCTGCGAATCCTGTATACGCACGTAGACAGCTTATTCATTATGTGAAATGGATGGTGTTTCTCATTTTCTATACGCCAAACCCTTTTCCGCCTGTCGCGCACTGTCTGCAAGAGGAAAAGGTGCAAATGGCGGTTTTCTCGTACACAGCGCGAGTGAAACAGCTGCATTTTTTGTCGATCACCGGTCGTGGCATCTGTTCGTGTCGTTCTTGAATGCGGTAATATAACCCCCACGACACGTTCAAACAGAGGGTGTGTAGTCGGTGCGACCGCGGTCGGTTGTTGGAATTGTACGGCGATGCTTACAACTCGAGCAGGTTGTCTATTTTTGAAGGGCGTGGAAATCGCAGTTGTATGTCGAGTCACGAGATAAGGCGGCTGAGTCGTTTCGTGCGCCCTCGTTTGTTCGACTCCGCGGGTGATCGAAACACGGATAGCGCAGTATATCCTCTAAGAGGCCCTCGGGAAAGGTCACGCTTGTCACGAATCATATCGATATAGGAGAAACTGGCAATTGTCTCGTGAGACGTCGTTGCCGCTTTGGCGCACATCAAAGGTTGAAATCTCGAAGAGTACGTATCATTCACACCGTACAACTAACTGCACGCCTGTATTTGTGGCAACCAGCCTCCTCCCGCTCCTGCGGTGTGCCACTTCTCTCCCGTATATTCGCACGATGGCCGCCATCGTGTGAAGAGGCGCGCAGCAACAGCGCCAGAATTGGGTTCTCGATCGTTGGACCTATATATTCGCCGCGGTTTCAGGCCGTCATTGCGGAATGAACGGTGCGAATCGGACGCGTGACGCGAAGCCAATTACTTGCGGCT